GTCGCTTTTTTTGGTGCCCTTGTAACTTCGGTCACTAAATGAACTGTTGTAATTCAAGGACTTATTGTAGCACTCTAAAATGTTTCCCTAAAAATAAGAACTACCCCAAAAATAAGCCCTAGTTTTGGGGGGAGGCACACACTTAAATATCAAGCTAGGGTGGGGGGGTGGATCTGCCCCATGTGCCCCGCACCCACTCATCTTGCAGCCAGGCCCCTCCTCGCCAGCCCACTTCTTCTGCGGCGTCTTCTGCAGCCAGGCCTGCATTTCTGGAAAGGCCATTGCAGCCGAGAACCGAGCTATGGATTGAATCCATAGCTTGATACTCAGCTGCCGAGGCCTTCCAGAAAGGCCGGACTGTGAAATGCAGACCCGAATGCAGCTGCAGAACTTGGGCCCAGAAGAAGTGGACCCGTTGGGTGGGGCTGTCAGTGCAAGGAAGTGAGTTTAAAAAAGACACCACCGCCACCGAAAATAAGGTCTGGTGCCTCTTTTGGAGGCAAAAAATTAAAATAAAATAAGACCTGGTGTTATTTTCGGGGAAACACAGGTGTGTTTTTGGGGGGCAGTATTTCCAAAACAGACTTAGAGGCGTCAACATAGTGGATTGTATTAAGTTCTCAACTGCTTCTAGGATCGATTTAGAAATGCAGCTTGCTTTGCTTAGTGACTGTTCTCATTTATGCCGGACCTTATTTTCCACTTATTTTCGCATCTCTAGTTTCCCAGGGAGATCGCTGCCAGCCCATTGTGGATAATTCTTTGGCTGATGGACTACCAGAAAACTTACATTCCAAGTCTGTTTGTTTTTAAACTCCTCTCCCAATAAGCCACGAACGAGACTGGTTGAACAGGTGGATTCCGAATTTTGGAGCAATCACTGTGCAGGTGAATCTTGCAAGGGTTCATTTTGTGCTGAAAATGCACCTAGAAGGGAGGGCAGAAAAAGTGGAGGTACACAAAGTGACACTTAGCCTCACTCACCATTGATCCTGGCGTACACCGCCACCGTCCCATTCTGCAGGCCGGCAAAGAGGTAGTCGGCGTTGTGCTTCAGGCAGAGGACCGGGTGGGCTCCAGGGGTCCGGCTGGTCAGCAAACACTGGGCCCCTGTGTCCAGACTGCCATAGGCCAGGATGCTGCAGAGGGGAGAAAGTGATGCTCCCCTTAAAAACACAGCATGAGTCAGAGGACCGTTTACTAGCACTGAAAGGGCACCCCCCCAGTGGCTGACAAGGGAACTGCTGGGGTAGCTCCATCCCTTTCACTGGAATTAAGACGTTTACTTGGCCAGCACTCGGGGCCTCTCCTCTGAACACGTGCAGAGTGCTTCTCCCTCCCCGTTCCAGGGGTTGGGTGGAGGGAGAGGAGGGTAAAGGGACCGGCCCCCAAAAGAAGACTAAACAGACAATGTCACAAGGGGGAGACCCGCACAGACACAAGGGGCTTCCCGACTCTCCGAGCCCCACCCCCCCAATTATTTCCGGGACCCCCCACTCTCTCTCACCTGCCGTCTTGCAGGCCGAGGCAGAGGGCGGGCTGAGGTGGGAACAGCTGGTCAGCCGGGGTCTGAGACTCCTCTGCTCGCTCCTCTTCGGCCCTTTCGGGGATGTACTCCAGGCAGAGGACCCGGGAGGCCACCGGGAAGGACCTGACCGTGCGAGGCACCGACCGGTTCAGGGAAAATATCTCCACGTGGCCCCCGGCCCCCTCCTGACCTCCTCCGACCTAGAGAAGCCAGAAAGAGCGGGCGCTGTCTTTTAAAAACGGGACGACAGTTTTATCACCTTGACGACCAGGACTGTCAAGCGAATTGTAAGGTTGTTAAATGAATCATAAGGTGTTAAGTAAATGGCAAGGTTGTTAAGTGGGTCACACAGCTATCATGTGAATCAGGAGGTTGTTATGCAAACCACAAGGTCACTAAGTGAATCACACGGTTGTTATGTGAATCACACAGTTGTTAAGTGAATTGCAAGGTTGTTATGCAAATCATAAAGTTATTAAGTGAATCACATGGTTGTTAAGTGAATCACAAAGTTATTAAGTGAATCACATGGTTGTTAAGTGAATCACATGGTTGTTATGCAAATCATAAGGTCATTAAGTGAATCACAAGGTTGTTATGCAAATCATAAGGTCATTAAGTGAATCACAAGGTTGTTATGCAAATCATAAGGTTGTTAAGTGAAACATGGTTATGTGAATCATAAGGTCATTAAGTGAATCACACGGTTGTTAAGTAATCACACAGTCATTAAGTGAATCACAAGACTGCTATGCGAAATATAAGGTCATTAAGTGAATCACATGGTTATGCAAATCATAAGGTCGTTAAGGTTGTTATGCAAATCATAAAGTCATTAAGTGAATCACATGGTTGTTATGTAAATCATAAGGTCATTAAGTGAATCACACAGTTGTTAAGCGAATCACAAGGTTATTATGCAAATCATAAGATCATTAAGCGAATCACCCACGGTTGTTAAGTGAATCACACGGTTGTGTGAATCATAAAGTCATTAAGTGAATCACATGGTTATGCAAATCATAAGGTCATTAAGTGAATCACAAGGTTGTTATGCAAATCATAAAGTCATTAAGTGAATCACATGGTTGTTATTTAAGATCATTAAGCGAATCACCCACGGTTGTTAAGTGAATCACATGGTTGTTGTGTGAAGCATAAAGTCATTAAGTGAATCATACGGTTGTTATGCGAATCACAAGGTCATTAAGTGAATCACACAATTGTTAAGTGAACCCGGCTTCCCCCCTTGACTTTGCTTGTCAAAAGGACCTTCAGAGACACAGGTGTGAAATCTGACTGACTGGACAGGTGTGGGCTACATGAAAACGTGCAGCCCACGCGTGCCTGGCTGAGGAATTCTGGGAGTTGAAGTCCACAAGTCATCAAAGGGCCAAGTTTGAAGACCCCTGGCATAGACTCTCCTGCTTGAGCAGGGGGTTGGGCTAGATGACTTCAAGGTGTCCCTTCCAACTCTTTATGTTCTAGCTCAGGGGTCTTTAAACTTGGCCCTCAGCGTGCCTGGCTGAGGAATTCTGGGAGTTGAAGTCCACAAGTCATCAAAGGGCCACGTTTGAAGAGCCCTGCTCAAGTCATTCCAATTTCTCCTTGCAAAGGAGATGAAAGCTGATGCACGAGGCCCGAACAGGTGCTGTTTTTTGCGTAAACTCACCCAAAGATACCCCTGTGGCAGGGAAGTGCTGATGGCCGAAAATCCCAGCAAGGAAGACTGGACCGGGCTGTGCACAGCCGCCCCCAGCTGAATCCGTTCCGAAGGGGAGGAAGAAAAAAAAAAAAGAGAGAGAAACAGACCGGAGAGTTATTGGACGGGAGGCATTTACAACTTTTCGGAAAACAAGGGACGTCAAGCCCAACTTTTTAATATTATATCTTTACCACCCGTCTCTGCAAAAACAAAGGCAAGGAATTGTTAAAGGACAATGGCTAAAAATACATCTGGGGAACAACAGAATCAATCAATGGAAGCACTCAATTAAGGCAGAGCCCCGGGAGAAGGGGCTGAGTGGGGAAGGAAGAATAGAGGGCTAAAATTAGCCTCTGGAAACAAAGTGGGGCACAACTGCCTGGAAAGCGGCAGATGTTCCAAAGAAAGGGAATGGGAGGGCATAAAAGTCTGT